ATTCAAGGCCTCAAACCTATTCCTGAGATGGTGGGATTATCAAATTCAGTTGCTGGATCAACTCAATTTAATGGCAAAACTAGCCAATCCCTCTGTGGATAGGCTAACTCACCCTATTTGCACAGTCCCACCCATCCACATGGCAAGGTCAAACTCAATGGTTAGAGAAGCCGTTTTGAACAATAAACACCGTAGTCTACATTCACATTTAGTTATCCTTCATTGCCAAGATGGACAAGTCTTTAGAGAAGGACATCACTCTTATAAGGCAGAGAAAAGGAAGACCCTGGATGAGATGGAGTGATACAGTAATTTGGGTTATCAGATGCTGGTGTGTTCAAGACAGAGAGATTGGATCAGGATAAGAGTTTTCAGAGCCATTGTGCATCGGGTCACTATGTGTCACAGGCAACCTGACTCAGTCACAGGCATGTAACAACAAAGTATCTTAATTCAAGTTTTTCTTTGTAACTCTCCATCCTGACTGGTGCATATCAAGTTCCTTTTGGACCCATTTCCTGTCTCCAATTTATGTACTTCCAGTCTACCAAGCACAAGGCCAACTGGCCAAGGTACCTGTCAGCTCAGACAACTCTCCAAAGGATGGAAGATACTCTCTGCTAAGGAGCTCACTCAGCTATTATTTGATCTGAATTTATCACCAAGGCACCAGTTCCTTCAAGGTTCAAAAGGATACTTGAGGACAGATGATACAACTGGGTCACCCAGAATTCCGAGTTCCAGGAGAAAAAACATTTTTTTTTCAAATCTTTGCTCTTCGATATCAATGAAAGCAATGATCTCAAAACTATAACAGATAATTGTTTTCTTCACCAACAAAGGTACTTGTTTAAAAAAATCGCTTAAGGTAAGGAGGTGCAACTACAATCACAGAGGCTCACGGTTCGAATCCACCAGATGCTCTGCCAGAAAAAGGAGGGACAATCTTCTCCTGTACCAGTCAGATCTGATTTGACGGTACACTCACACTCACACACACAAAAAGAAATGTGCAAAGAGCCGGAGTTAGAGAATAAAAAGGGAAGAACTTGGTATTTCTCAAGCTGAAAGAAATAAAAAACAAATTCAGGCTTTGAGCTACAACACTAAAAGACCAACCCTATGAGCAAAATCTTGACTGATCCAGGAGGCATCAAAGGAAGATGAAGGGAATACAGTCACTATACCAAAAAAAAAAAAAAAATCACGTAAGAATATCCTTTATGAAGCCTTAAAAACTATTCTTTTTATTCATTCTTGCTCCTAGAGCCCATGTCCATGTAAAAGTATATTCTCTGTGATAAAATGGAAAGTACTCGTAAAACACTTCATACTTTAA